GAAGGGAGTTGAGCATGATAAGAAATGAAAAATATAAATAAATAAATAAAAAAAGAACAACGTGTCTTTGTCACTCAGACAGAAATGCCGACTCAGTTTTCTGCCTTTAACCATGTTTTTTTTTTCTCTTCTTYTTTTGTTTCTGTCTCCTTGTCTCCCCAGCCGGTGGGGTTTGTCAGCTTTGACAGTCGATCAGAGGCGGAGGCTGCTAAGAATGCCTTGAACGTAAGTGTCATGCCCTCTCCGTGCTCCTCTCATGCACCAGCTCAGCTCAAAAAAAAAAGAAAAAAAAAAAAAGAAGACACAGATCTTGTGATGGGTGCTTGCATTGCAAATGCACTTGATGCGAAGGGGGGGGATCAGACGGCTCAAACACAAAGAAAAACAAACAAAAAAGGGGGAAACAAACTGAAATGCTGCTGTACTTCGTGTGAACGTGTCTGTTTGAGAAAATAAAGGGAAATTAGCTCTTCTTGCACATCAAAATGGAGGATATTGATCCAGGGCTTAATTTTAATCCAACGTATTTCGGAGTTCGGCGGTAAGCCTCGATGACTCAAATATAAAACAGATCTCGTCCTCACAAGGTTTTATTTAGCTTCCTTTTAACAAAAGGCAGTAATGAACACCAGCTCTCACACCTTGATTTTCTTTTCCCATCTTTATTTATTAAATATTTATTTTAGCTTCACAGGTTTTGCTTCTTCTCATCGAGACAAGGAAAAAGAAAACTTTTATCTGCGTCCAAAATAAATATTACCCGAAAATGTTTGAAGATGTTTTGAAGGGTGCCCTAAATTTTAATATCAACTTACTTCTATATAGGCTAAAAGTAATTTACGAGTTAATTTAGTAATTCTGTCTCTCACTCCAACAGCAGCCTTTAAGACAGAATCGCAGACTAGAAAAGAAGCCTCAGTTACTGTGCTAAAATGACATCTTTTATTGAAATGTGGGGATATGATAAGTTAAAAAGACCCTTCACTTCCAGTTTTAAAGACAAAAGTGCATGTTCTGCCATGATGGAAGTCTGTTATAACTTGGGTGGGCTTCATCGACACTCTGAGGGAATGTAAGAGAAAACTGAGAGTTTTATAGCAGCGGAAACACACCAGGTCAGGGGTGTCGACCTCAGTTACACAAGGGGCCCAAAATAAAAAAACTTGGTCCAAGCCTAGAGCCAATCTTGGTCAATATTTATTGAAAATAATAGTAATGTTGGTTTGAAATGTAATATAACAAATCATGCTTGTAGAAATACAAATGACAAAAACTAATGAATTTCTCCATTGCGCGTTCCAAAACCAAAATCAAAGATTACAGAAATACTTTTAATTATTTTGCTTTGTTTTATAGTCTGTCATGAGAAGACTGCACTAAGTGCAAGCTTATCTTTTAAAACAAAATTTCATTATCATCTTTGGGGCCAGATAAAATGTTGAGCAGGGTCATGTTTGGYCCGTGATCCTTGAATTGGACACATGTTCATTAGGTGATTCCAAAAATTACAAACTAACTGTAATCCTTTAAATCAGTGTATGGT